GTGTGCACTTCCTGTTTCCTATCGTCATTTTCACCCAGTCTTTTTTTTTTTTTTTTTTTTTTTTTTAAATCTTATGTATCAGGAATAATTAATTATTTCATTATTTTATTCCGTGATGTGATTTGGTTACTTATTAATTTGGCGCTGGCTTGTAGGCCCAGGTAGAATGGGGGAAAAGAGTGGGGGTTTGAGAAGTTGGAGAGAGCACACCTTAATATCTCTAGCTTCTACTGTTTCTGCTTTTCTTCCATATTGCTGATGTTGTGATCTTCTTCTTCTTCTCCTTCCCTGCAATGTAGCTATCTTGAGCTTTGTAGACCGAAATGCTGGAGTACTCCCCCCGTTGTACTTTATGCACCTTCCCTCCTTTAACCTCCCTTCCTGGCCACGTCAGCTACATCATACTATCAACTAACATTCTGGCCCACCACTTATGCAGCTTCCCTCCTTTTACCTCCCGTCCTGGCCGCATCGTCTACATCAGACTAACGACTGACATTCTGGCCCACCACTTGTGTCTCAATCTCTCTCTCCCACCTTTTTCCTTCCTCCGTACGATCCCCAGACCTGTCCACCCGTGACGTGGAGTACTTCGGCAAATGACGAGAAATGTGTATCTGGTCTATAAAACGAGGTCCAGATACATTCTCAATGTTTCATTTCCTCTTTCTTCTTGTCCAACAAGGTGAGTGTCGTCCGCGGCTCAATAATCTTCTCTCTCCTTGCCTATCTTTCCTAAAACTCTAGCTCAACCTAAGCATTTTTTCCGCCCGTCTGCTTCACCCACTTTCATCTATGCTGATCGTATTCATGTCCTTTACTGTTCAAAATGGGTTGAAAGTGGAATCGGCTATGTAGGAATCATGTTTTTCCTTAGTGGCATGTCAATAATCGCAGACATCCTGAATGTATTGTTTGAACCGTCTTTGAAGAAGTAAGGAGGTGTTACGCTTGTAAAAACGTTTCTCCTTGTCCGTTTGTTTCCTGAAGGACAGTAAGGCCACACACATCTTGTGATCGGCCCTGGCCACAGACTTTGGGGAAAGATGGCGGCCCACAACAGAGTCCCATCTAGATCTTGTAACATCAAAATCAAGTCTAGATTGGTGTGGGGTACTACTGTTTTGAATGCAGGTGAACAACCTTTCTTGTGACAAGATCCGTCAGTATGTATCAAATACTTGATCATCCTTGCATAGTTTACGAATAATGTTTTCCGCCTCCTCTATATACGCTGGGCAAGGGGAGGGGACCCATAATCTGTACAACCATCTGTCGGGGACTGCATTGAAATCCCCTGCCATAATGAGTGGAATATCATCCAGTATTTGAATCCTAATGTCCTGGAAGAACTTGACCCTTTCCTGTACCTCATTAGGCCCATACACATTAAGGATACATACTATTTCCAGCTCCAGCACAACCAAAGCAGAAATCCATCGACCCTGCTCCTTATCTGCTGTCCAGTGAATAATTTCTGCCCTTGATTCCGGTGGCACCCAAAAAACCACCCCCCCTGATGCACATCGTGGCGCCGGGGAGGATATCTGTATCTATGCTTCAAAACTAGACGCCTGTTATCTCGAGCTAATTTTTAATATCTGACTGATCGACAGAAAAGTCATGTACAACATCCTGGACGGTTTCCCCACTGATGCCATGTTCGTGCTAAGCTACCGAGAACATTGCGCCACCCGCGTGCCCCTTTTCGGAGGCTGAAACGTTACGCCACCCGCTGATGTTTTTAATCAACGGCGAGCCGGACCAGGCGATGAGTTTCGTTTACCAAGGCTGGGGTCGTGTACTGGCGGTTTAAAAACAAGTATGAAAAATGAGAAAGGAAAGTCACAAGTCGCAACGTGGTGAACTTACCAGCCTTTGACCTCCGCTGCTTGCTGTGCGCTGGACTCTTGCAGATGATAGTCAAAGTACATGTAACTGCCTTGCTCATAATCCTTTGTCACCACCTGCAATCAATCAGTAGGCAGATTCAATGAACTTGTATCATCACTATTACGAACCCATGCAACATACATCCAAGAATGCACGGAAAGAAAAAGAACACACATGACGAATATGAACTCACACATGGATCCTGAAGACTGGATTGGAGGCACACTCATCTGACTGCAATTATGGCAGGACTTCGGTGTATCTGACCACAATTACGTCCAGAGCTCAGTCAAATATGTTTGCGTGCGAGCATACCCTGATGGTTTGTAAATCCTGACGAAAAACACACAAGTGACCCAACCCATCATGGCAGTGGCGGGTCCATACTCACACCAGGACGCCGTGTTCAGTCCATAGACTCCATACTCATACCAGGATGCTGATTACCTTTCAAGAGCAACACAGCTAGGGTTAATAGTTTTTTTTGGCGCCCGGAAAAAAAGGGTGAAGAGGCAGTGTTTCTCTTATTATTTTCTCATCCCTTCAGTGAGTTTCAATGTTCAATTGAGAGGGCTGCTCCAAGGGCATTATTGGGATGGGAGGGTTTACTCAGCCAGTACTATAATTATTACTCAAGGGAGCTGAGTGTAAGCTCCCGTCAAAGTGTTCAAAGATTCTTATCCAAGGTTCTCTTATACCTATGTTCTCAAACGTGTACTCGAGGGACGCTGGACCCGATTTCCAACAGGTGAAGCTCCCCACCAATAGATGGAGCAAAAAAAAAAAAAAAAAGTAAAAAAAAAAGAGACTAACAAAAAAAAAAAAAAAAGGAAGAAGAAGAAGGATGCTGATTCCAGGCATTTGTGGGTCTCAGTGCATAGGGGCTTGTTCGACACTCCTCGGGTGCGTAAAGTCCCCAAGGAATTGTTCGTTCCACTTATCCTCGGGGATGCAGTCGGAAAAAAAAAAGTGAAAACACTCCGAAGGAAATTCCTTGGGCTCCGAGCATTCCCCAGCCATTTCTCCCTTTTGCCCAAGGGACCTCACAAGGTCCCTTGGGCAAAAGGACTCCGCGTTTCACGAGAGGAGCGGGCACACGCGTAGAGAGACGTTACAACCGAGAATCTGGATCGTGGCGGCACCCTATTGGCTGAAGGCCTTGAGCACATTCGTTTTTTTTTTTTTCCCTTTTTACTTTTCTGACATCGCTCCAAGGAAACGTCCTCGGGTGACGTCCCCGAGGACAGGTGGAACAAAGGCCCCAAATTTCCTTTTGACTAGAAGGAATTTTTCCTCGGGCTCCGAGGACGCCCCAAGGAATGTCGAACGAGCCCCATACTCACACCAGGATTAAGTCTTCTACTGCTCAGCTCTGGACGTGATTACAGTCAGATTCATCCAGGTCTGGCTGTAATTGCAGTCATATACGTTCAGGAAAGTCCTGCTGTGAATATGCTCTCACACACAAATGCTTCGTACATGTGTGGACTTGATAGAGGGAATCCAAACTGTTTGTGTGCAACCATTCCTTCACGAATAACGGGCGTCGTCAAACCCTTCACCAAATGTGAAAATGAGAACAGCTACGGCAGGTGTATCTTTTGCAGTTCTAGCAGACGATACATGCTTCGTTTTGCACATCTCGTGCGCAGTCTAGCGAGGCCCAAAGAAACCAGCCCACGCCACAAAAGCTTTCACCACAGGTCTCAAAACTATAGCAGGGAGAGAGGCAGGAGCCGTACTGCCAAGTTCGGCAAAAGAATACGGCCAAGTTTAGCAAGAAATTATGACTTTAGCAAGAAAATATATGGCCAAGTTTGGCCTGTAATGCTCCCCAGCTACATACTCAATCTTGGATGTTATCATGGGACGCTGGACCCAGTTTCCAGAAGGTGCTGCTCCCCACCAATAGATAGGAGCCATCTGCAGGAATACCTAGGAGTACATGCTCTTATCATTACCCCTAGCTTGACCTTCAGGAGTTGTTAAAAAGAAAAAAAAAAGAAAAAAAAAGAAAAAAGAAAAAAAAGCCAAGTTTGGCAAGATATGTGAAGGGTGCTCTCCAATCACCAGTGATCTTCGCAGTAAGCCTTTTTCCTGCAACCTGAGGCAGTTGCCCTCTCTACTGACAACCCTAGAGTGGACAGAAGGCAGGAGGAGGAGGAGGGGATTGAAGGCAAAGGATGAAAGCAGTCATGACGTTGGAAGGGGGTGAACAGAGCCATCGACGGGAGTAGGGTTTAAAGACTGGAGCTTGATTGGGAAACCCAAACAGAAAAGATGAAAGAAAAACATGCACAGACCCAATCAACGGGTGAGCTGTCAAAGTCTAGTGGAGTGATTTCTCGAAGTAAGGCTATGGGGAGAGCAAATCAATAAGAACCTGGCAAGTGAAGGCAAGCCACAAGAGACAAAACTGCTGACGTTAGCAGTGTGAGACAATATTTGTGCTCCATGGTAAACAGTGATAGGCACTGACAGCCAGCCGGGGAGAAGCCTGCATTGTAAGCAGTGGCTACGACCCGGACGTCCGGACTGCCGTCCAGACGGTCTGGATTCAGGCCGGACTCCACACGTCCGGTCCGCAAGGTCCGGATCTGCCAAATTTCCTATATAAAAAAACAAAAAGAAAACGGTCCAGTACCCTTCCCCACTGAGGAGCCTGCATTGTAAACACAGTGATAGCCTGCATGGTAAACACAGGTGAGGCTAGTGAAGGCAAGCCACAGGACACAGGAGTGCTCTCTGGATTGTAAACGCAGTGCCGGGGAGAAGCCGATGGATCTAACATGGCATCGAGAGCAGGACGGCAGTGGATGCAGTAATAACTGCGATGGTGGGACCACGGAAAATGGCAACTCACAGTCAGATTGCAAGGAATGAAAAACGCGGAAGAGAGCGACTAAGGGCATATTACTCACACTAAGACTTTTTTCTTCTCAGCTGTGGCTGTCATTGCTGTCAGACACATCCTGAAGGAGCCGTAAATGCGGTTGGATGCACCATGGAAAGCGCTAGTGTCCTACGCTCTATGAAATAACACACTGAAATTGGGACAAATCATTCGATCACTGGAAATGGTCTTCTTTTTTGAAGTTTTTTCTACCCTTTTTCCGCATCAATCGTGTAGAACTAACCTGTCTCGTGACGGAAAAATGTGGACCGTTTGTCGATTTATGCATGCCATCCTTTCACAGGGTCCAAAGATGTTGCTCTCTAATCTGAATTAAAATTTGAGGTTAAGTCCTTCGGGACACCAGTTAAAATTTGAACGACACAGAGAAGATGAGCATGGCCAATGCGCAAGGATGACATGCATAAATCAAGAAATGGTCCAAAGAAAGAAGGGGGAAACAAAAGTTGGGGTTATCGACTACCTTCTTCACCCAAATACAACAGTCTCGTGACGGAAAAAAAAATTGGACCGTTTATCGATTTTCGCATGTCATCCTTGTGCAGGGTCCAAAGATGTTCTTCACCTGCATACAACGTACGGTCATTATAGCTGTATTTGGGGGTATCTTTCACTCTCAATACAGCAATAATGCCCGTGCGTTGTATTCAGGTGAAGAAGCTACTCGGAAATCTAACACCTAGCAGGGTTCGATCACTGAAAATGGTGTCAAGCCCTGCTCCATACTTCTCGCATCCAAGTTAACATTGGGGCATTTTTAGGGTCCTAATTTTTTTATCGCTGTGTGCAACAAATTAGGTGAGGAGCGTGAATGTAGACAAGGTTTGAGAAGAAAGGGAGGATGGGTTATACAGGTGAGCATCATGCTACCCTTTTCCCCCGAATGCAATGCCCAGTTCTAGTGAATGTTCCGGGCTAAATGCAGTCATAACAATCAGGTTTTCTGCTCGGGGGGGAAGAGGGTAGTAGGCATTTTCCGGCAGTAATGAGAGGGGTGCCACATGCACTTGCTAGCACTCGGTACTTGTCGTCACAATCTGCAAAAGGTTACCAAAGATCCTTGAAAGGCAAAAGTTGTGTGAATTGCAGTGCATGCGGAGGTTTGGCCAAGGCCGGCCGCTGACATCTCTCATCGTCTGGGGATGCCCCTATGCCAACAAGTTCCAGGATTCCAGCTAACTGTCTTCACCTGAATAGATTGCCTGGTCATCTTACCTGTATTTGGGGCAACTTTCCGCCTAGATACGACGATAATTACTGTGGGTTTCCATTCAGGTGAAGCCGGCAGGCTACTACTGTACACCAACCTTACCTTATTAAGGTCACCGTCCACCCTTCTGCAGCATACTCACACTACCACTTTCCTGAATGTATCCGACTGCAATTCTGGTCAGACCTGGATGAATCTGACTGCAATCACGTCCAGAGCTGAGTCGGAAAAGTCCTAGTGTGAGTGTGCCCTTAGTCTCTTGCAAAAATAGGTATTCACCACTGTTCATTCTGATGTTAACTTCAACTGTTTGAGACCATCAAGAAGACTACTTTTTCTGTATAGCTCTGGAAGCAAACGAGATTTCATGAATGAATTCCTTACCAGTGTTATCACTCTATCTAGTATATCATGAACAAATACCTTAGAAGGCTATTAGAATGCTGTTCAATCGTTTCATGAGTAAGTACCGTAGAATAAGAAATACAATCGCTTAGGATCAAACACATACCTCAGGAGTCAGGACCAAATACCTCAAAAATACCTTACAATCAGATCAAAGTCCATCACAGAAATACCCTTAAACCATAAGTACCTTTCCCCGCTTGAAAAGGAAAGTCGCGCTCGTTAACGACTGCATTTTTCGAAGGTTCGTGTACCGGACCAAAATGGCTAACGGTGATAGCCAAAAGAAGGCCTGCGATGCTTCACTTTTTTTCGGCGCGCAGGGCGAATTTAGGCTTGACATCAATAGCTGGGCGGAATACTGGTAGTTTACACTTTGAAGTACCTTCTAATGAGATCGAAGTTCACAAAATAAATACCTGAAAATACCTTACAATCAGATCAAACAAATGCCTTGGGATCAGATCGAAGCTCCATCAAACAAATACCTTAGGATCAGATGAAACGAGTACCTTAACATCATATACCTGACACGTGGACCGAACAAATACCTTAAAATACCTTCTGTACAAGCAGATGAAAGTTAAGAAAAAATTATCTTTAAATCCCTTACAATTAGATACACACAAATTCCTTAAAATACCTTATAGGCTTATACCATATATACAATCGGATCAAACAAACTTGATTGAAACACCTTATAATTATCTTAAAATTGGATCAAATAAATACCTTATAGTACAATTGGATAAAAAGAATACCTTAAGCCACCAGTACATTTCCCCACTGTGAAAAAAAAAAATGCGGCTTGTTTACCGGTGCAACTTTCGGCGCTTGGCCTCTGGTGCCAGTCAAAAGGAGGGCCGCGCCGGTTCATCTTTTTTTGGAGTGCAGTGCTTTTCCAGCCCCAGAGAAAAAAGTGCCTCGGAAGTACTGGTGATTTAAAGAATCTCACAATTAGATCAAATGCAAATAGCTTAAGAGCTAAAATGCCTTACAAAAAGATCAAACAAATATCTTGGGATCACATTGAACAAATTTTACGTAGGATCAAACAAATACGTTTGGATCAAAAAAATTAACCAAGAAAGTACCTTAGGCTCTCCTTGGTGATGGAACCATGTGTTGTATCCTCGATGGTACAACCATCGCTGACGTTTCAGCTCTTTCACAGCAAGATATTGCATGAAGGTGTCCTGCACACACAAGATCACCATCAACAACACGATTATCATCACCATAATCCATGACCCACAACCAGCCACATTGCGCACTGCGAGACAGCGCAGATGCACAAGTAGTAGTATTGTAGGTTAGATTAAGAGAGAGACACAGTCTAGAACAGTGGTTAAGTCATCTCTCTGATGGTATTTCAAGATCTTTGCCTGGGTTGAAACCCCAGATCTGACACGTCCTACAAGAACGGTGTGTATTCTTGTCTGTTTTAGGGGTGGACCCCACTGCCACGCAGCAAGTTTTGGAAGAGTGTTTTTTGAGACTCCACTGTGTGCGGGAAATTTGGGCAAACTATTGCATTGTAGTTTCTTTCTGTCTTGTTTTTTTTCCCACACACAGGCCCCTTCTATTCTGCAGGACAACAGTCAGGTTACTTATCCCCGACAAGCATGTTTATGCAGAGACAATGGGAGAGAAGAAGAGAAACAGGGGATCAGCCTAACCCTTGTGGCACTAGCCGCCTAAGCAAGGTGGGGCCGCTTCTGTGCACCCCGCCCCCAAACCTTTGTCTCGCGGTGGATTGTCCTATTGGCCGGGAGGCTTACTAGCAGCACCCAGACACGCAGTCGGGTGGTCTACCGGGGGGCACGGCGCGGCGGGTGCGTTCAGAGCAGTATCTGAGGCTGCTTGTCAATAGTCAACCGTTTTCTGTTCCCTGCCAAACCAAAGCTTGGCCAGCTCCCACCTACTTCAATCGTAAGTTTGCCGATCTTTTACTTGGACCCCGCCACGTTTCAGCCCCTATATGAGCCTCGCCCCACCTCTGCTGTCCTTAGTCACCATTTAACCATCTGTGGCATTTGACTAGATTGCTATTATGCACCGACTATTTTCCTGCTAGCACTAGCAGTCTTGTTAGTACTATTAATAACCCCAGCATTCTCCTGTTTTCACTCCCACACGTCTTCTATCCTCTATTCCTTTTTCATCTGGCTTCCTATGTCCGTAAGTTTCAAGTTAAAATCCCCCTCTAAGCTAGCTCTATCTCCCCCACCACCCCCCCCTGCCTATCTTATCTCCTCCATTTTGTGGCTACCTACCTATTGTACATCTATGATCTACCATTCTCGGGTCTTTACTCTCCATCCCGTCCTACCCATCCCAAAATCCTAGGTATGTTACAAACCGATCGTTTTCATGACAATCTATCCCCCTCTTCCTAGTCGTCCTCTTCTTCCCCTTGGGCATCAGTCCATGGTACTTGATGCATCAGCACAGGGCACAACTGCATTTGGCCCGTCTGAGGGCGCAGGGAGCAGCAGCGGGTAGGGTTTCCATCGTGCCCAAAAACCTTTCTTTTTCTGCCCTCCTATGCACGTGTATTGACGGCAGTCCGCCGAGAGGGCGATTCTAATGTTCTCCAGCGCCATTTCTTAGTTAGCTCTCAGTGGTGGTGCAGCTCCCTGCCTACATTGCTCATTCCTCAAAAAAGTCCACAGAGCCCACAGCACCGGCACCCAAATGATCTATGAAGCTCTCAGTGGTGGTGCAGCTCCCTGCCTACATCGCTCATTCCTCAAAAAAGTCCACAGAGCCCACAGCACCGGCACCCAAATGATCTATGAAGCCATAAGGTCCTCCGGTTTGATCTGTCCACCTTCATCAGAGCCCCAAGAAGGATAATTGCATCATCCTCTTCCGTGACCCCCAAGGGGGTTTTATCCGCCGTCTCCTGCGCCCACCACTCCCAAAAGGCCCGGACCACCGGGCATCTCACAAAGAGATGAGGAATGGTATCCACTTGTGCGTTGTTGTTTCTACTACTTTTTTTTCCCCCCTTCGCTTTCTAGGCATTCCATCCAATCCCGGTGCCTATTTTCCGCATGGGGTGGCTCAACTGAGAGAGTAGCCCCCCCCTCCCTCCCCCCCCCAACTCTCTTCGTTGAGCCATCCCATGCGGAAAGGGGGCACTGGGATTGTATGGAGTGCTGTAAAAGCGGAAGTCTACTTGCACTTTCGGGCAAGTTTTCCTGATCCGTTAACAAAAAACTAGGAACCTCCCAAAAATTGCTGTGGCGCAGGGGTCTGTTTCCTCTTTCCCGTTCCCGAAAACAATGATTTGTGCTTTCCAATGTTCCAGACTTTTCCAAAGTGCTTTTCTGTGGGGTCCGTCCCTTACATTGTCACCGGAACAACTCCTTTTCCAGCTAGCCGAGTAGATCCAAAATTGAACAGCCTGCAAGGCTGTGCAAGCTTCTATCTAGTTATAGAAATATCTATGTGATATTTTAAAGAACCAACGACATCTCAGTCAAGGTTTGAGTTCCTCTAAGGAAAAAAAAAAAAAAAAAGTTTCAAAAACACTAAATGCAGTTTTGACTCTTGAGTCTTTTGATGCGGTGGTGGTTCGGAATGAGTCAGCAGTATTTTTTTTTTGCCATTTTTGAACTTGAGCCCTCTGCACACCACAGCATGCCCCTGTAGTTACGACATCCACGCTTATTAGAAAGTGCTGTGCTGCTTTTACTGCCTTGTCAAACTTGGCGAGTGAGTGACCTGCCAGTATGTGCTTTTTCTGCCCATTCGGAGCTCATTTTCGTTCGAGATGTAGTTGGCTCTATTTTAAATGATTGTAATGTTTTGATAAGAGTAACGTTCTGATGAAACAGTCACTTCCTTCTTGTATTTTGAGAGGTGCAAGGTCCACCATGTGTGTGTACTTGAGCGTGGAATGCATACACATCTGTTACGGACTCAGCCAGGGCTCGATCCCTGGTCCGCGGGTTCCCGCCAGGCTGTATTTTCGAGTCTCTGATCTCCAGTTCCTGACTGTTGGCGCCCTCTGCAGTTGGCGCCCGTTCTCAGATCCCTCTTCTGGCACTTTCGGATTTCGATACTTGGTGCCATCCGGCATTCTGGCGCCCAGGTTCAGACCTTCGATTTTCAGTGCAGCCCCGAGGCAAATTGCACTTTTGCCCTAGGACTCAACTTGAGTCCGGTGCTTAAGAATAATCAGAATCTTGTCTTCATGGGAGGCCTTGGTAAATCTATGCCAGTAACAAGGTTGACTTTCTTAATTGGCACTCTTTCTCTTTGTGGAGTTCCTCCTTTTGCTTGTTTTCGGTCAAAAGATGAAATTATTGCTGATGCTTGGAAATATAATTTTAATTCAGTTCTCGGCCTCAGTGCTTGTGCTTCAGTGTGACTTGCTGCGACATTGTGTTCGGAATCAAGATTGCGACTTTGCGACTTTGCCACTTTGTGTCTGCGTCCGTCGAGTCGTGTCGAGTCCGTGTCGAGTTGAGTGTGTGTGTGTGTGCTCTCCCTCCCTCCCTCTCTCTTCCCTGAGCATGCTGCTCTGCCTCAGCCTCGTCACACTGGTATCGGAGCGGCTTCGGCCCTCCCTCCCACCCTGATTCAGTGTCGTCGCCGTCATTTTCCACGTCATCGACATCGTCGTTACCTCTTTACCATCATCGTCGTCGCCAGGACATCGCCATCGTCGTCGCCGTCGTCGCTGCCACGTCATCGTCAGCATTCCCTCTTACCCGCAGCCACGTCATCGTCACCACTGCCGCTGCCATCGCTGACGCGCAGGTAAGTTGCCAACAATTTTTTTTCTCTTCTTCTCCTCCGTCGCCATCATCGTTGTCGAAGTCCTTCTTCTTCCCCTTCTCCGTCGTCGTCATCATTTCTTCTTCCTATTCTTCTTCCTCCTCCCCTCCGATCCTCCTTCTCCCTTCGATTGTTCTCCTTCCTCCCCCGATTCTTTTCGCCCCCCCGCCGCTGCCTACCCGGCTCCATCTCCTCGACCTTGAACCTTCCCGCTCGCACTTCTTCCCCCCTGCCACTCCGATCATCCGACACTCCCGATCCCTCATCCACTTGAACACAGCCCCCAGGATCATCACGAACCTGCCCAGGCATCGACGACTAGTCTGTCGGCTATCCCATCAGTGACGATCTCCACCCCACCGGTGATCCATTTGGCATCGACAATACGTCTGCCTCCCCCTTCTCCGGTGCTGAACATCCCACCGGACGACCCCCAGACGTGGCAACCCTCGTCGCCTGACACCCCCCTCACCGCCACATGTTCCGCAACCCTCCTTCCAAATTCATCCTCTGTCACTTTCTCTGATGTTGTTGAGGAACAAACCCGACTCGATCGGCTTGTCCGATTAGGCAATGAACAACACCTCCTCAACACCATTATCTCCACCGCCAACTCATCACGCTTTCACCTCAAATTCATCGCCGCCACCCTTGGTGCGTCTACGACTAAGTTCCGGGCCCTCCTCGACATTGGAGCCACTGGTAACTTCATCACCGACGCGTGTGTCCAAAAAGCCGGTCTTACCTTTTCCGGTTACGACTCCCTGATTACGATTCGTTTAAGACAAAGACACCGCCGTCGTAGTAGACCGCACGGTTCCCAAGACCACCATGACTGTCGGAACCCTCCGCAGTCAGGTCTCATTCGATGTCATGCACTTAATGTGCGACATCGTTTTGGGAACACCGTGGCTGGACCGCTACATGCCATACTCGTTCCACCCCAACTTCATCCGCCTTACCAACCCCCCTGACACAATCATCGACATTCCCCCTCCCCCCTATCCCCCCTCCCCAAGCTCCGTCACCGCACACCAATTCCTTCACATGACTAGTACGTACCCTGACTCCACCTACTATTGCCTTGTTCTAGATTACGAATGTTCAGAGGACTTGCTCCCAACGGACAAACTCGACCAAGGCCCCCCCTCCGGCCCCGCCCTCACCTCCATCCTCGACGAGTGCAAGGACGTCTTCCCCGAGTCCTTACCCGCCGGATTACCTCCGAATCGTGGCGTATCCCACACCATCGATTTGGAGCCCGGTCACTCTCCACCTTGCCACCCTCCGTACCAACTCTCCATGCCGGAAGCCGAAGAAATGAACCGGCAGCTCGATGAACTCCTTGAAAAAGGATTCATTAAGCCAAGTTCATCCCTTCGGCACAAGCTGCCTTTTCGTCAAGAAAGGCGGAACATTGGAACTCCGGATGTGCACAGACTACCGCGCCTTGAATCGGATCACGACCAAGAACAGGTACGCCCTACC